AGGACACATTTAGGAAGTGATATGACAAGCAATTTTAACAGTCCATTGTGAAGAGTGCTTTATGGAAGCGTAAGTAGTGGTGGATCTGAGAGGCTGAAAAGATGAACTCTATCTGGCTATTTCAGGGAACGTTTTTAAGGAAGAGATTATTTTTGACATGAGTTTTGAAGGCAGTAGGCAATTTCCTGCCACTTAAGAAAGGAGAAGAATATAGGAACAGGAAAAAAAAGGTAATGTATTTGGCAAACCCAAATAGTCAGTAGAGAATTGTGCTGCCAACCCAAAGGCATGCGATTCAAATACAGCAGCTGTCTTGTGGGTGAAAGATGAGCAATTAGCTCCTGGGCTCTTTATAGTCTCTAAATAAACCACTGGAAGGTTAGCTTTGAGTTGGATCTGACTTGATGACAGTGAGAATTTGAGATTGATTGGCTAGCAAAATGTGTATAAAATGTTGTCAAGTTTGAGGACGCAGCATGTTCCATGAAAGGGATATTTATCTTGTAGAAGTGAGGTAGCATTAATTGTTTTAACCAAGGATTTGAACAGATAGGTATTTTTAGACAAATCATTCTGGGTTCAAAATGAAGAATGGATTTGGTTGGTGAAAAAAATTGGGAGTCAATGAGACTCACTGGGAAGTTGTTATGGGCCCTGAGAGGGGAGAGAAGGACCTGACCTGTGGCAGGAGACAGGGAGATTTAAGAGATGGTTAGAGTGAAAATCAATACTAATTGAAAAGTTATCAGCTAAGATAGATAAAGAAGAGAGAAAAGTACGGAATACACAAGGATTTTTACCTTGGGGTAATTTAGGCTCCAAGGAGGTGGAGAGCAGTACGTGTTGAGTGGCTTAACGGTGTGTATCCATTGAATACTCCAGAAGAGAAAGATGGGCAGTCAGTCTCCTTCTGTGAGGATTTACAGCCTTTGAAATCTGTTGGGGTTCCTATGACTCAGAACAGATTTAACAGTAGTGGGCTGTTTCCTCGTACAGTTAGTCTCACCTAGTAGAAGCTTACATGTTTGGAGGTTTTAGTCCTGACTCTCCAACTTACTACTTCCTGGACTTGAAGGAAATTGTTATGAAAATTTACTTCTCTTCAGTTGACTCATGTATATACAATTGGAATAAATGTTTGTGGGATTACTGGCAGAATTATTATTGGCATGTTGATCAAAACTCCTTTGTTTTCACTTTTATCCATAATCAATGCCCATGGAAAGTGACTGTGATAAAATCAAAGATTGTATTGCATGGGACAAAACAGCAGCAAAGAACCTCTTTAAAGAGTTAGTGTATCACTTTGAAGAGTAAGATGTGCCTCACTCACCCCATAGTATTCTCATTTAACTCATAGATTTAAAAGTTGGGCCATGAATAAGGAAGACTAAGAGGAATACTTCGAATTCTTTTGTTGGCAGAGAATATTGAACATGTCATTTGCTTCCCAAAGAGCAAACAATTCCATCTTAGAAAGAGTACAACCAGTATGCTTCATAGAAGGGAGAATGATAGCATGATAAGACTTTCTCTAACATAATTTGGGCAAGTGGCACAGGAGACAAACGCTGGAGTTATTGCTGTTATGTGCCGTTGAGTATCTTGCAGCTCATAGCCAGATTACGTACCACAGCTCTGAACCCTGCTCTATCCTGTGCTGACCTTCTTGTCTCTGACACACCTACCCCCATTACCCCAGTCACTGAGTCAGTCCATCTCATTGAGGCTCTCTCTCTTTCTCTGTCCTTCCACCTTCCCAAACATGATGTTCCTCGCCAAGGACTGGTCTCTCCTTGTAACATGCCCAAAGTATGCCAGACAAAGTTTCAGAATCCTTGACTCCAAGGAACAGCCTGCTTTCACCCTCTCTAGGATGAACCTGTTTGTTCTTCTAGAAGTTTAAGGTATATTCAGTACTCTTCTCCAGAACCACAGCTCAAAGGTATCAATTCTCCTTCTATCATCCCTAGCATGATATTTAGTAAAGTAACGGGATAGTGAGAAAGAGGAAGACTTTCATCGAGATGAACTGACACAGACTGCACCAATGGGCTCCAGCATGGCAGCGGCTGTGAGAATGCTGCAAACTGGCTTGTTCTGCTACGCACAGGGTCCAATGTTGTGGGACAACAGCAGCATACACAGGATCACTGTGAGTGGGACCTGCTTGATGGCACAGGAGACCAAAACCAAAGTGCCTTGTGCATAATCTTTAAGTCAATACATACTTTTTCATTAAAATGGATGAAACACTGGATTAAGAGCAAATGTAGTTTAAAACAGCCAAGTGGCAAGAAACCATGCTGCAATCCCCAAGGCGTGTGGTTTGAATACACCAGCTGCTTCGCAGGAGGAGGATGGACACTCTCCTCCTCTGCGATTCGCTGCCTCTGAAAACCTGCTGGAGGGACAGCTGTCAGTCAGTCCTGACTTGACAGACACAATAACAGTTTAAGATGACCAGTGCAATTTCAGATTGGTTGACTTTACAGTATGGGTTTTGTTTTTTGTTTTGTTTTGTTTTTTTTTTTGTCAAGATGAAGCTATCCACAGATATTTAAAAATAAGAGGATCCATTATTAATACCCTTTAGTACAAGCAGTCAGGGAATAAGGAGATGTATTGCACTGGGAAAATATATAGTTAGGGACTTGTCCAACTTATTGAGAAGTAGTGATGTCAGTTTGAGAACTAAGGCACATCTGATTCAGGCCATGGTCTTACTGATTCCAAGCTATGCATCTAAGACCTGGACAATGAATTAGGATGACAGAGAAAGAAATGATGCATTTGAGCTGTGGTGTTATAGAAGAGCACTGAATATCCCATGGTGGGCAAGAGAACAGATATGTCTTGGAGAGGGTGCAGCTGGAGTGTTCTCTGGAGGTAAGAATGAGGAGGCTTTGACTTATACTTTCGACATACTGCTATATGTGATATTCCTTGGGGAAGGACATGATGTTGGGAAGGGTGGAAGGCCAGTCAAGGAGAGGAAGATCTTGAGCCAGATGGATTGACAAGGTGACCGCTGCAATGGGCTTTGGTGTGTCAGGAAGTGTAAGGATGGTGCCCGACAGGACTAGGTTCAGATCTTCAGTTCATAGGGTCACTATGAGTCATACTTGATTTGATGGTACACAACAACAACAACAACAAAAACAACAGCAACATTATTTAAAAATTATTTCCTAAGTCATCATATATCTTCTGCTCTTTGGTTATCCAGAGAACATTTTCCCCCTTCCAAATTAGCAACCATAAAAGGTGTTCAAATAATTTCCGTTTTATGTGAAATAACTTCAGTATAATGAGTTAGGTGGAGAGGCACAATCTTTGAACTCTTCCTGATACTGCTTTTTAAAGGATTTCATTGTACATTTCTTGAGTCTTTAATCCTATTAAGAGGAATAACTCCTCTTGGTTATTATTCTGCACTATCTTGAATATTCTTGAAAACTTCTTAAGAAAGCAAGATAATGGGCATAGTAACAACAACAACAACAACAGCAGCAGCAGTAAAGAAACCCAACCCTCAAACTCATTGAGTCTGAATCAACTTAAAGTTCCTTCTCCAGTGGGTTTTTAGAGGTTGTGCATCGGAGGAGATCACCCATGTTTCTCTTGCAAAGACACTGGTGGATATTGTTTGTTGCTGTTATGTGTCATGGAGTCGCTTGCAACTCCTAGTGACCTTATGTACAAGAGCCCTAAACTCTGTTCTATCCTGTGCCAACATCACCATCTCGAACACATTCATTCCCACCACTCCACTCACAGAATTGATCCATCGACGGTCTTCCTCTTTTGCGCCATCCCTCCACTCTCCCAAACATGATGTCCCTCTCCAAGGACCAGTCCCTCCTTGCAACATGTCCAAAGTATGTCAGATGAAGCTTCAGAATCCTTGACTCCAAGGAGCATTCCGGCTTCTCCCTCTCCTGTTTGTTCTCCTAGCAGTCAGTACACTTAAATAGTTAGAAAACACAAAGCATTTTAATTTTGAAGCTGTTTCTGACATAATGAAAACGCATAAAGATTGGATCTAGAAGGATGTGTAAGGGTTGTTGTTGTTAGGTGCCGTGAAGTTGAGTATCCCTCGTAGTGACCCTATGAACAAGTTAATGCCTGTCCTACCCTGAGCCCAGACACCCTCATAGTCTCTGACAGACTCAAGCCCCTTGCTGTGCTGTGTTAATCCATCTGTTTGAGGGTCTTCCTCTCTCTCATTGACGCTTCACCTTTCCAAATATGATGTTCATCTTCCAGGAACAGCCTCTTCTAGAAACATGCTCAAAGTATGTAAGACAAAGTTTTGCTCTTTTTGCCTCTGAGGAGCACTCTAGCTGCCTGTTTTTGAAGACATATCTCTTTGGTCTTTAGGCAGTCTCTGGAATATTCCATAGACTAAAGATGAAATGAGAATTGACGTGTCGGTAAGCAAGTAAAGCTTAAATATACAAGAAACAAATGATCTTTTTAGCAAAACATAAAAACAAAATACTTGCAAGTTATAGAACTAATATTTTTATTTTGTGAGGACTTTGTTAATATTAAAAATAAAAAGACAAAACTCAGCACAATATATAAATATACAATTCCATTTTGAGCCAATCCAAATGACACAGAGTCATGTGAAAAAAAAATGCTCAGTTTACTCACAGATATAACAAAAATCAGACTGGCAAAAGTATCTGTGCAGTTACTGCCAATGAGGATGTGACAAAGAGGGGCTATTAGTTTATTCTTACATACTGATGAATTTTTACAAGAATTCTGTCACACTGATTACAGTTGAAACTGTAACCAACTTTCATGTCAGAGATCTCAGTTCTGTAAAGGTATCGCTTTCACATAAAATTATCAATAAGTAGAGATCCATCCTCTCTCATTGCTTGCATTGCTTCATGTATCAGTGAGGATTTTCACTTTTCTTTATATTGCATCTTTTAAATATTATGGATCTATGACCACAAAATGACCTAATTGCCAGTTCTCTCTCATGACAGACACTGCGGAGATTCATGAACAATCAATTTGTCTATGCATTCATTTCCAGGTTCTAAAATATTGTGTTTCCTCTCTTCTGTCATCACCATTAATGCTTCAATTTTATTCTCCAAAAAATTTTTTAATGATCTTCGCATTGCCTTCATCTTCCTCCGATGAGACACACAAATATGGAAGCTAGAGAAGAGAAACAAGGTAATTTCTACTTGAGGATTAGTATCTAAACTCTTGAAATCAATTACACAATTATTATTCTTGTCTTTTTTGGGGGCTTTGCTTAAAACTCTTCCTCCTATTTAATCATCTCTCATCCAAAGTTCCAAATATTATCCCATCAAGTTGGTATCCATTTCATTCTTATCATAGGCAGGTTTTACATATATTCCTCTCCCATTATTTCCTGTATTGGTCATTGAGAATGCTTTAAACAAAAAATGTACTTGAATTTGTTTGAATATCAGAAAACTCACAGTAACAAAGTGCTTCCCAGCACTACAGCTACCGTCAGCAAGATCAGAAACAGTGTAATCTCTCGATTCTCATTGCTCTTCAAATCATCTTTTAGGGGGAAAAAAGTAATTAAAGCATTATTAAAATATATTTGAAGAAGGTAAGTCATAACTTACGACCTGTGCATATCTTTCCCCACATCCAATTTTGCCCTATTCGTCGCTTTCATTACTCTTCTGGTTATTGTGCCTTTTATTTTTCCAATATCTGTAGGTTTTTCAAACCCTTCTCCCTCTCGTCCAATTTTTCCATTACTGTTCTAGACTCCTATATTCTCAAGTCTTGACCTTGCAAGTCACCCAATGCCAAGTTATTCGTACTAGTACAGATTTTTGACCAGCATTTTAAGACAACACACACACACACACACACACACACACACACACACTCTTAAACTATTGAAATGACCCATTACGGGCACATACGAAGTGCTTACCAACCATTTGTTAAGTAAATCAGAGAACAACCCAATAGTAAAACCTTTGACCCTTCAAAGCACCAAGCCACAATCTTTCTTTGTTACCTCCACAGTACTCGCCTCTGAAGCAATGAGCGGTAATACGAAGACAGGTCCAACAATCAAGAACAGGACCTTCCGTTATAACTAAGACAGATGAGAAGATAGAAGAGAGATGTGTTAGTGAGACTCCTTAGTTCAGATAAATAGAATGGATTAGATGGGGGACATTCCTATGACTCTCAAGATTACAAGGCTTTTTATTTCCCCATTTTCTGGTAACGAAGATTCTTATCTCAAAATCGGGTATGATTCAAATCATGTCTGGGAAGGTGTGAGAAATACGGTAGCTTGGCTTTTACTGGGATAAAGAAGCTTTAGATCACCTCCTAAATCTCAGTGTGTGCAATGTTTCATAAGCTGAAGTTAAGTGTCAGATACTGGAAGTTCCCCTTATAAGCACAATTCTTGGAATTTAGTTCTCAGTGTGACAGGTAGAATAAATAGGACCATACAGAACAAAGGAGTTTGGAAAATTGGAGCTGAAATATCAAGGTATCACAGGTACTATACTCACTGCAATCTTCAGAACAAGCTAGAAGAGAATGAGAAAGTTCCCATGAGCTCACATCAACTTGATGTAACCATACCTACAAGCATATTATTCTTATTTAGTTAAACACTAAGTTCTAGCAAGCCCTTCACCCATTCTAAGTCGCCTCATGGGAAATGACATGTCTCCTCTCCTTATTTTCTCTGCCCTCAAGTGTTGCTGGTTTGATATCATTCATTACCAACATCAGAGAATGTCTTTAATATTTCATTTATTCTTGATTCCAGAGTCTTCCGGACTTGAAGAAGGTTGCCTTGAAGGATAAAGACCCCTAAGAGGAAGTACAGGGAACATCAGAAGAAAGGAATAGACTATCTCTTTAGTTAATCTTAGTATCTCTGTTGTGTCTTCCCCAGCTAACTTTTCTTACAAAAATACAATTTTTAACATTAAAAAGTACTATACTTGGGGTGGGGGTGAGGATGTGCGGGTACCAATGAAGGAGTTTTTCTTTTGCTTTTCAAGGAGAGGAGCGAACTGGGGGTGGCGCTGGGGCTAGGTGGGTGGGGAGAAAAGTGCAACAATGAATGAAATTCCAAAATCTCTGTAGATGTTCACTGAAATTAATAATAATAATAATAATAAAAAGAAATGTATATATAAAAAAAAGTACTTCACCTCTCCAGGTTTCACCAGCCAGTTTCTCAAACTCCTTTGTCAGCCATGATCTCAAGTTGGCAACATTTTGAACATCTAGAGAGAAAGGAAGAGGGTACATACTATATCTGTGTAGTAAAATTTTTGGACCAACATGCTCACTTTCCTGCCTCCCTTCTCCCTTAAATCCCCAAAACTCTCAGGACTCAAACATCCCTCACCCAACACCCGAAGCGTCTTGTCCCTGTGGGAGACCTTGGAACTTAAATGACTCATCTCCTCGGATTGCCTTTTAATCAGAACTTCTCGACCAGGGACTTCTGAGGGTATCATGTTTTCTATCCATTTTCTAATATCCTCTATGAATTTTGGGTCACATTCCAGACAGCCTTTGACCTCATGGAAGGCTACAAGGGACAGGGACAAGAGAAAGAATAACCACAAGCCTTCCATCTCCTTAAAACTTGGCTCCTCAGCAAGAGGTCGTCTTGGCAACTGGTTCACCTAGTTCCTTTTTTCTTCAAATATCTGGGAATGAGAGCCTTCTACTACATATTCTGACTCCATCTGCCCCTCTGTTTCCATCCCAAATCTAGGAAATCTCATTTTCATGAGAATCTTAATCAGGTTTCTAACTTTTATCCTTCATTATGGAGAGAGGGAACCGGCAGTTGGGGAGCTGATACCTGAGTTCTGAGTGTAGAACTTAATGAGGGAGGGAAGTCTTGAGCTCACAAAAGCAGGATTCTCTGCAAAAGGATGTTTCAGGAAAAGTGTTCTGTAGCTTTTTCTTTCTTATATCCTTATGCAGATTCTAGCACTTCTCTTGACCATCAGAACTGTATCTTTTCTGAAAATTCCAAAGCCTTACAAATTTTAATGGCCTTCACAACCTCTTTTCTTAATGAATGCCACTGTTTGTCAGGTACCGTTGACTTGACAACCACTCTTAGGGCTTTTATGACCAACGGATCAGAACCTTGCCCTACCCTGTCCCATCCTCATCATCTCGGAAATGCTCAAAAGCCTATTGCTATGTTATAGTCACTGTATCATTCCATCATGTTAAGGGTCTTCCTCACTTTCTCTGACTCTTCACTCTTCCCAACATGATGTTTCCTTACAATATGCTCAAAGTGAGACACAATTTCACCATCCTTGCCTTTAAGTGGTGATTTGGTTGTTTTTGCTTGGAGACATACTTGTTGGCTATGGACCATCCACAGAATACTTAACACCCTCTCCAACACCACCATTTAAATGCATTGGCTTTTCTTCTGTCATCCTTACTCATTGTCAATCTTTCAGATGCACAGGAAACAATTGAGGAAAAAACAAGCAAAACAAAACTTGACTTCAGTTAGGCTAACCTTAGACTTTAAATTGTTATCCTTGCTTTGTAGCACTTTGGAAAGGTACTTGACATCAGATTTTCCTTGTGCAGCACTTTTTTTGTTTTGTTGTGTTTTAGGTAAGTGAGCTGTTACCATGAGAATACCCTGTAAAACTTTAATAGATAGAGTCCAAGAATATGGAGCGTAGAAGGACTAAGACTTGGATTTTTATTTCTCCACATCTAGGTGTTAAAACAGGAGATACTTATATTTTAGTTATCTAGATTTTATTATCAGTAAAGAAACAGACTGAAAAATAAAGTCATATTACCAATTGCATTCTTGCTCTCACTCTTAATTTTCTGAGCTTTTCTTGGAAGAGCTTAAGGGAAAACACAACAGGATGCATGGTGAAAGAGTTCAATTAGAGCCTTAGAGACTTTTTAATCCAGACTTTAATAGAGAAAGAATCAGAACAGCTGCTTTGTGGGAGGATGGACACGGTCTTCTCTGGTGAGATTAACTGTCTCTGAAAACCCATTGGAGGGTCAGCTATGGGTTGGTTGTGACTTGATGAAACATAATAATATCCTACGTACAATTGGTATAAAATAATTAAAAACTGATTTTCCCCCTAAAATTTAAGCTAACTTTGCCTATAGGATGCTTTTTTACAGTCTTGCCATGTTACTATTGTATATTTTATATCTATCTTCTGGAGCTAAGGAGGCTGGAACAATGTAGTTCTCAAGCACGGGCTAGTAAAGGTTCTAGTGGTTTTGAGGCAAGAGAATATTATTTATATTCCTACCACAGAAGAAAACAGTCCTCAACTTTCTACAGCAAACACTTCAGATCCTCCTCAGTGCTGGTAAGAAGAAGGTCAAGGTCTTCAATGTGGACTGAAGCTCAACATCAATAAAACAAAGATTCTCTTCACTGGACCAATTGGCAACACTATGATAGATGGAGAAGAGATTGAGATTCAGCTTGGTTGGCTCCACAATCAATATTTTTGGCATCAGCAGACAGATAATCAAAAGACAGATTGCACTGGGAAGTTTGCTATTGGGGACCTCTCCAAAGAGTAATAATGTCGGTCTAGAGACGAAGGTGTGTCTGATCCAGGCCATGATCTTTGCAATTACTTGCTGCGCTTCAGAGAACTGGACATGACTAAGGATGACAGAAGAAGATTTGATGCCTTTGAATTGTGGTGCTGATTAAGAGAATTGAACATACAGCGGACCACCAGGAGAACAAATAGGTCTTTCTTGGAGAAGGTGAAACCGTGGAAAATCATGGAGGCTAAGATTTTGAAGCTCTGTCTCACATACTTTGGGTACATGTCCAGGAGGGACTGGTCCTTGGAGAAGGACATCATGCTCAGAAGGATGGAGGGACAGCACAGGAAAGGAAGACCCCAGATGAGATGGACAGATACAGTAACTGGGGCAGTGGGATTAGGTGTGTTGGTGTCAGAGAGACTGGCTCAGGAAAGGAAAGGGTTCAGAGCGGTTGTACATAGGGTCTCTGAGAGTTGTGGAAAACTTAATGGCACATAACAGACACATAACAACAACATTTGTTTATCATGTGACATAGTATGTTAAACACTGTGATGTTTTACTGTAAGTCCTTATAACACAACAACATTATAAATATCATTCCCACAATAGATACTCATATGTCAAAATAATTTTAACGTCTATATTCATAAAATTAATGCTGACTTCATAAAATGAATGAAAAAGCATTCTTTATTTCCTAAAAAAGATTGCAGGAATTGGTATTATTTTTTCTAAAATGTGTGGTAGAATTCACCAAAAATATCTGAGCATGAGTTTTTTTATTTTGGAAAATTACTTATTTAATTTATTTAATAGGTAAAAATGGCGAATTTTCCCCATGTGCATTGATAGCTTGCTTTTCTCAAGATGATGACAAATTCAGTATCTTTTGTTAAATGCATAAATTTGTTCTTGTTGTTGTTATGTGCCGTCGAGTCGCCTGCGACTCATAGCGACCCTATGTACAACAGCCCTAAACTTCACTCTGTCCTGTGCCAATCGCACTGTCTCTGACATTCCCATCCCAATTATCCCAGTCACTGAATCAATCCACCTCATAGAGGGCCTTCCTCTCCTGCGCCGTCCCTCCACCCTCCCAAGCATGATGTCCCTCTCCAAGGACCGGTCTCTCCTCACTACATGCCCAAAGTAAGTTAGACGGAGCCTCAGAATCCTTGCCTCCAAGGAGCCACCCGGTTTAACCTTCTCCAGGACAAATCTATTTGTTTTCCTAGCAGTCCATGGTATTCTCAGTACTCTTCTCCAGCACCACAGCTCAAAGGCATCAGTTCTCCTTCTATCCTCCTTGGTCATTGTCCAACTCTCTGATGCATAACAGGTGATTGTGAAGACTGTAGCCTGTATCAGACGCACCTTAGTCTCCAGAGAGACACCACTGCTCTTCAGCACTTTGGAGAGGTCCCTAACAGCAGACTTTCCCATGGCAATGCGCCTTTTAATTTCCTGGCTGCTGGTGCCAAGACTGTTGACTATGGAGCCAAGCAAACTAAAGCTGTGTACAATCTCAATCTCTTCACCATCCATCCTGATGCTGCCGATTGGTCCAGTGGTGAGAATCTTGGTCTTCTTGACATTGAGCCTCAATCCATATTGTAGGCTGCAGTCCTTGACACTCTGCAGCAGGCGCTTCAGGTCCTCCTCAGTTTCAGCAAGCAGGGTTGTGTCATCCGCATAATGCAGATTGTTGATAAATCGTCCACCAATCTTGACCCCACATTTCTCCTCATAGAGCCCAGCCTCCCGGATAATCTGTTCTGCATATAGGTTGAAAAGGTATGGAGATAGGATGCATCCCTGGCGTACGCCCTTCCCAATTTTGAACCATGCAGTGTTCCCTTGCTCTGTTCTGACAACTGCCTCCTGGTCCAAGTATAAGTTTCGCATTAGAACGCTCAAGTGTTCTGGGATTCCCATTCTTCTCAGAGTCAGCCACAGTTTGTTAAGATCTACACAGTCAAGTGCCTTTGCATAGTCAATGAAACACAGATAGACATTCCTCTGGTATTCCCTGCTTTCAGCCAAGATCCATCTAACATCAGCTACAGTATCTCTAGTACCACGACCCCTTCTGAAACCAGCCTGGACTTCTGGTAGTTCTCTGTTGATGTGCTGTTCCAGTCGTTTTTGGATAATTTTCAGTAAAATCTTGCTTGCATGTGAAATCAGTGAAATTGTTCTGTAGTTTCCACATTCTGTGTGTGTACCGTCAAATTGGATCTGATTGGTACCGTCAAATTGGATCTGATGGCTCCTCCTTCTCCGGCAGAGCATCTGGTGGATTCGAACCGCATATCTCTGGGATTACAGTGCAGTTTCTTGCCACTAGGCCGCCAGAATTGCATAAATTTAGGGTTGGTAATATTTCTTTATTACAACTTTTTTAGGGACTTTATTATTTTAAAAATATTACTTTTTCATTGCTACATATACTCTTCCTTCCAGCCTTTTCCCCTCCCCCAGTCCATCCTGCAAACATATAATGCTAATCATAGATGCCTTTGAGATAGTAATTTCTCTCATCTGTTCTAACGCACAGAACATGATCTCTTCAATATCTTCTCACTCTCTCCTCAACCCAACCATGTCTGTTCTATTTTATAACAGCAGTGTTATGCAGTATTTGTCCTTTTGTGACTGAGATATTTTACTCTGCATAATATCCTCCAGGTTCTCCCATGTTGTGTAATGATTTACAAGTTCATTGTTTCTCAGTGCTGTATACTATTCTATCATGTGATTGTACCATGATTTTTCAATACATTCATTTGTTGATGGTCACTTGCATCTCCGTACTATTGTGAATACAGCAGTAAACATGGGTGCGCACATATCTGTTTAAATTGTGGCTCTGGTTTCCTTAGAATAGTATCCTTAGGATATAGTCCCAGTTAGTGGAATTGATGGGTCAAAGGGTATTTCTATTGCCAACTCTTTAAGTGCCAGATATCCTTCCACAGTGACTATACCATTTTACATTCCCACCAACAGTGAATAAGGGCTCCAATCTCTCCACAACCTCACCGGCATT